GCGAACGTCTGCTGGGCTGGGGGCTGGGGGCTGGGGGCTGTGCCTCCACCGGCCGCGAGGACTTGGTGGTGGGAGGCCGCCCCACTTTGGATTTGGAGAACGCCGAGAAGCACTCTCTCGGCCGGCCTGCGACACTTGTCTCGGGCCCCCTCCCTTCTGGAGAGCCGGGCCTCGTCTGCCCTAAGTTTTGTCTCCCTCTCTCCACTGCCCCATGACAATAAGGGCTTGGACGCCGAGGTCCGGCCCCTGACCAGGGCCCCGCCCTCACGTTGGAATGGTCAGCATCCCCGACTCCCCCACCTCCATTCACGCGCCCCCGGCATTGCCGCTTCACTGAGGCCCGACGGTTCCGGTTATTGATTAACCAGATTGAGACTTGAGCCCCGTTGTGGGGGAGGGGAGGGCGCACTGTGGTCAGGTGCAGCCAAGCAGGCGTGTTTTGGAACTCGCACTGCAGGGGGCAAATCCCTTACCGTGAAGGGATAGATGGAGAAACCAGACTGGAGCAGCGTCTAGATTCCTGAGCTCCGTGACTGGCCGGAGGCCCACACCGAGTGGGGGTGGGGCAGAGGCCGGTGTGGACCAATCACTGCCCTGAGCACGGGGCCTGGGGAGGCCGGTGAGAATGTCTCCGTGGGGTGTGCAGTGGCCCTCAGGTGAGATTTCCCCCTCTGCATAGACATGTGCTCTTGGGTTGGGTTTCCAGGGTCTGGGTGTGAGTAGTCTGCACCTGCTGCCCCTCGGTCAGTCCATCAGGCACTCAGGTCTCCTGGGGGCGGGGCTGCACCGCAGTGGGGCAGGGGTGGGGGATCAGATTAGCCTTTGCCCCTTCAACAGTACAGGCAGCCAGAACAGATGTGCTCCAAGCGATCATCCCTTCCCATGCGTGTCCCAGGAAGGCTTTGAGCTGCGGGCTCAGGGCTTGCTGCTGCTGGTGTGGATGGGGGTGCGGTGGGGGGGCTGTGCAGCATCCTCCAGAAGGCTGAAAGGACTCTCTGGCCAGAGGGGTGCCTGGTGGCTATGAGAGCGGAGGGGCACGTTGTGAAGGCCCCCTGGATGCTGGGCACGGGACCGGGGCTTTGTTTCTGGGCCATGAGAGGTCCTTACACACGTGCTGGTGAGAGTCCCTGGGTGTCCCAGTGATCCATATGAAGTGTCTGGAAATATGGACACGTTTAGTTCTGTCCTATGAGCACGATATGCTACATGTCCATGGTGTAAAGTCACCATAGTGAGCTCACGTGTGCCTAGTGAGCTGTGCCATCCGCTGTTTCTGAGGGTTCATTTTAACATGCATGTGCTACTTGTCTGCTTGTGGAAGCAGCTGCCCAAGTTTTAACAAAATTACTCCCAGAGCCGTATATGTATGAATATGTATGTGTACATGCGTACACGTACATATGTGAGAGCATTCTCTCCAGTCATCCAAGTCTTTCAGCGGGAGTTGGCCACGATCACCTGGGGTGAACGAGTCCTCTCGGTTGTGGGGATGGTCGGTGAGGGGCACTGGGCAGGGGAGGGACAGGTCCTCCTTGTATCTGGCAGCTTCCTAAGGATGGGTGGCGGGCTGGCGGGTGGCTGGAGACAGGCTAACTTAATTACGATGGTCCAGGGAGAGAGGACAGTCATGGCTGGGGCAGTGGTGGGTGGATAGAGAGCTGGGGTTGCCTTGGAGAGGGATCGAAGAGGGAGAATCAGTAAGGTAGAGAGTCTTTGGACGTTAGTAGAGAAGCAGAGGGAGGCGCTCTGCCTGGGGGACGGCTGGGTCACAGGTTCCGTTTGGGTCGTGCTGAGTGTGAGGGGCTGTGGGACACCCAGGGTGAAGCTGCCCCAGAGCAGGTAGAGGCACGGATCTGTTGCACTGAGAGTGGTCAAGGCCGCCAGTTAGGGAGATATCAGGGCAGAGCTGGTAGTTGAAGCCCTGCGGGTGGGGGGTGGGGAAGTCTTCAGTTGTGCAGAAGGAGAAGGTGGGCAGGAGCCCTGGGCAGAGGCTCCACCTCCAGCGCTGTGCCTGTACCCACTGTTTGTCACGCTGTAGCTTGGCCACAGTGAACCCCGGGGGAGAAGGGGGGAGGCACAGGGCCTCGGGGCCACACAGCGCGCTGCAGCCCTTGCATGTCCTTGTGCATGGAGCTGCCAGGGGGTCAGGAGGCGCTGGAGAACCCACCCTTAGACATGGAGAGAGGGGAGCCTTCTCCATTGTTGGGGTCAGCAGGGAAGCTGCTGCAGCTGGGGGAAGAGGATGGAGACTCGGTTTGGGAGTAGGTTGTGGACGCCAGAGAGGCCTGGGATGAGGTGGCACGGCAGGCATAGCTGAGTATGGGGTGGAAGGTAGCCAGAGTCTGCAGTGGGGTCAGGGGCTCTGCAGCCCCCTGAGCCTGGCTTCCTGGCCTGAGGCAGCGTCCCCCCACCTGACTAGGAGCACTGGTGCCCCCTTCTCTTGCAGCCCCCCTCTCAGAAGCCCCGACACAGGCTCCCACCCAGTTTCTGGCAGTGAGGAGGGCTGTGTGGAGCCACCCACAGGCTCCCACTCCTGTGCTGTGACCGATGGTGTGTTCCTGGGCACTGGGTCATGAATAGGGAATCAGGGTTCCAGGGCAAGACTGAGCAGGGTCATGGCTGGGTGCAGGGGCTGCTGCT